AAGCAACACAAAGCAACAGATGGGTTTAACAGCAGATTTGAAGAGCTGGCCGGTTAGAGCAGTTGGTTAGAGCATGGCGTTGGCAACACCAGGGTCAAGGGTCCAGATTCCCATACTGGCCAGCCAAAAAAAACAAAAAACCAGATTTGACGTGGCTCAAAAATGAATTAGAAAACTGGAAGACAAAACAAAAGTGATCCAGCAAGAAGTATGAAGAGACAAAAGAATGGGAAATGCAGAAGAAAAGGTTACAGATATGGAAGTTACGAAGAGAAGACCTTACATATGCTTAATGGCAGTCTCAGAAGAAGAGGAGAAAGAGAGACTGGAACAGGTAATATTTTAAATTATGGTTGAGAATGGAGATTTTTCCAGAATGGATGGAAGATATCAATCAATAGATTTAAGAACTGAATGGATGGATGCCAAGCAGAATAAATAAAAAGAAACCCATACCTCAACCCATTATGGTGAAAATGTAGAAAACCAAAGGCAGAAAAATCATAAAAGCAGCCAGAGGAAAACAATAGATATCAAGTTGAATTATGAAGATCCCCACAAATGGAAAAAGAAAAAAGATAATAGTGCTGGTTATTTACCTCTTGTCTCAAGTCTAAGCCCACCCTTCCATCATCTGTTCCATGATGCTGGGGCTAGGGTCTGCACATTTCCCACACTCCCTTGCCTGCTGACTTCCTGTTAGGTTCTGCCAATGGGAGACACTACAGGGAGATTAGCAGGTGGGAGAAGGGGGTTGCTTCCCATCTCCACTTCCTGTTGGCTTTACTTCACTCCAGCTCCTTTTAACATTCCCAGCACCAGCCATAATGAACGCCCTTGTAAGTAATAGCCCAAGCCAGCAGGGCTCCTCTTGGGGGGGGAGGGCAGTCCCAGCTGCGGGTCCTCCTTCAAGATTGTAGATCCTATTAAGCCTTCCATTCCCTTTTTTAAAATTAAACATTTTATTTCGGAATAATTGTAGATTCACATGCAGTTGTAAACAGTAACACAGAGATCCCATATACCATTTACCCAGTTTCCCCCACTGTAGCCTCTTAAATAATGATAATACAATATTAAAACCAGGATATTAACATTGATACTGTCAGGATACAGAACATTTCCATCTCCACAATGATCCCTAATAGATCCCTTTTATTATCCACATCCACTTCTCTCCCGCCCCAACCCCCTCCTATTTTCCCCATTACCTCAAGCATTTATCAGTTCTTTGTGTTGGAAGCACTCAAAATCCTGTCTAATAGCTAATTCTACCTCTTCTCTTTTATCTTCCCAGGCCTAGGGGTGGTACTGCTTCCTGTACTTACTAATATCTGAGTAACCGCAGCATCCTCTTTTGCTCTTTCAGCCTTCCAAAATCTGTACACAATCCACCTTATGTATTATATACCCTTTGTTTGAAAAAAACTAGCATGGTTCATATTTTCCTGAGTGGACCCTGTGTGATACAGGACTCTTCAAAGAAGGCACAGTGTGGTAGACTGCATTATTGTTCCAAATTATTTGCTGTCAATATCTGTGGGAGGCTAGTACTTTCCCACCTTGCTGACATCAGGCTTTGGCCAATGACGTGATGGTAAGTGATGTCTTCCACTTCTCAGCAAAAGCTTTAAGAACCATTACATGATTTTTCCATTGCTCTTTTCCCTCCACCAGGAGACTGGCATGTCCCTGGCAGAAGCTGCAACTGACCCATACAGGACACAAAAAATGAGCTAGAAACAAACACTTATTGTTGCAAAGCAAGGTGATTTAGGAGATGTTTATTGAGAAACAATGTAGCAAACCTGACTGATTCACAAAATTAGACTATATCTGACTCCTCAACAGCAAAAATGAAGCCAGCAGACAGCTGAACAATAGCTTCAATATACTAAAAGAAAATTACTGCCAACCTGGAATTCTTTTTTTTTTTTTTTTTTAAATAAAAGATAACCAGTAAGGGGATCTTAACCTTGACTTGGTGTTGTCAGCACCACACTCTCCCAAGTGAGCCACGGGCCAGCCCTCCAACCTGGAATTCTATACTCAGAGAAAATATGCTTCAGGATGAAAATCTAAATAAACAGGGCTGGCCGATTGGCTCAGCTGGTTAGAGTGTGGTGTTATAACACCAAGGTCAAGGGTTTGGATCCCCGCACCAGCCAGCAACCAAAAAAAAAAAAGAAAGAAAATTTAAATAAATGTATTTTCAGACAAAACTGAGAGAATATGACATCAGTAGATTACTATACATCAAGGGAAATTCTAAAGGCAGAGAGAAAAAAAATCATCTCAGACAGAAGATCATGGGCACAGGAAAGAGTGAAGAACAATGGTGATGTATATACAGATCAGTCTCACTGAAGACTATAAAACAACAATAATGTCTGTGGAGTTATATGGACAACTGCAGCATGGAAATCAAAGGTGGAATAAACAGAGATCCTTGGATTTTAACACAGTGTAAATGCAGGTGGTAATTTCTAGTGGGAAAAAAACATGAACAAAAATAGAAAAGAGTATAGAACTTCCAAACTAATATAGAAGGGAAAAAATGGAATGATAAAAAGTATTCAATCAATTTTTAAAAATCAAAAAAGAGAAAAAAAAAAAAAGAACATAGAACAAGGAGGGCAAATAGAAAACACACAGTAAGATGGCAGATGTGAACTCAAACATGTCAGTAATAACACTAAATATAAATGGACTAAATTCTCCATTTCAAAGGTAAAAATACTTAGCAGGCTTAAAAAAAAAAACTCAAACCCAACTATATAATGTTTTAAAAAGATACATATGAAACAAGGACTAGAAAAATTAAAATAAAAGGATGTAAAATAATGTACCATGTAGGCCCTAACCAAATGGATACTGTTACAGCTAAATTATTATCAGACAAAATAGATAAACTTTAAGTAAAAAATAACAAAATACTAGCGCATCACAACAATTATAGAGGTTCAATTCTCAGGATGGCAAAACATTTCTAAATTTATAGTCACTTATTAACATGGCCTCTTAATATATAAATAAAGTAAATTTTCTGTAAGCACTGATGTTAAAATGGTTGGGAAAGACTGATTTACAGTAAGTATCATGATGGTAAGTGTGCTCTGGAGAAAAATAAACCTGGGTGAGGATGACAGAGAAACAGCAAGTGCACAGGCCCTGAGGTGGGCCAGTGTGACTGGAGCTCAGTGAATGAGGTAAAAGTGGTAGAAGATGAAGTCAGAGCCAGGCTAGAGCCATGGCATCTATGGCCTGATAGGATGTGGTAAGGAGGGAGCACGGGAAACCAGTGGAAGGGTTTAAGCAGAGAAGGATCATGACTGGATTCATTTTAGAAAGTCACTATGGCAGCTGTGTACAGAATGAACTAGGTTGGGGTAAGACAGGAAACAGAGAGGCAAGTCAGGTGGTTCCTGCTGTAGGCCAGGGGAAACAGGGTGGTGGCTTGGACTGGGGGCTGCAGAGACATAAAGAAGTGGACGGATGTGAGACATATTTGGAAGTGGAATCTACAGATTCTGCTCATGGACTGGATGGCAGGAGTGTGAGATAAGGTCAGGGAAGAAATTGAGGTTTACTACCAGGTTTGGGCTTCAGCGATGGAATGGATGGCCATAGCATGTATCACAATGAGAAAGACCAGAAGAAAGACAGGTTTGAAAGGGGAAATCAAGCATTCTGTTTAGGACCTATTAAGTTGAGGAGCCTAGCTGACATCCAAATGGGGATAGCCAACACATTGTGTTTGTTGACTGAGTAAATGAACTCAACCATCCCAGTGGGGGAGACACACTCCATAGTAGAGTATGGTACTGAGCTTTAGACAACTCTGCCGAAAGAGCTTAGGTGGAGAAATCAGTTTCCCTGGACCTTCCACCAGCTGGTTCTTGATGTGTCATCATCTGGGCTCCCACACTGGCCTCATGTCTGTCCTCTCTCCTCCATGGCCACTTTGCAAATACTTGGAGACAGGGGTCACGTCCCTCACCTCCTGGCCCCACATTGTCTCTTCGACTGCCCACACAGCACTGGGTCCCTTTCTCTTCTCTCACAGGGCATTTTCTAGGTCCCTCACTATCCTATCCTGATCTTTATTTCCTGAACCTCTCTCAGTTTGAAAACTTCCATCATCAGATGGGCCTGGCTGAATATAGAAAGGCTCCTCCTTTATGTTTAAACAAATCAACATTTACTGTTTATACACATCCCTATTGCTTTTGTCACATCCCTACCATCTGTGGCTTGAACAGTGTCACCAGCAACACCAATAACAACCATCCCCTACCAGGCTATTCTGGCACTATGCCAGTCCTTGTACATACACTATTTCATTGACTCCTTATAACCTTGTGGGGTAAACTCATCATCCCCATCTTAGAGGTGAGTAAACTGAGGCTGAGGGTCACAGCTGGAATTCAAGCCCAGAACAAACTGACATATGAGCCCCCGATCTTCACACTCCATCCCTTTGGTTCTAACATTTATGTATATTTTCTTTCAGGACTTTTAAAACACATCTCATTCCCCATACTGGCCAGCTGCCAAAATAAAAATAAAAATAAAACACATCTCAAAGCTGAGGAGACCAGGGGCTGAAATCTTCCCCTCAGATGCAAGGGACTCTCACTAAACTGTCCAGTGATGAGTGATTTCTGGTCAAGTTTCTGGAAGGACAAGGGAAGGGAACTGGGGAAGAACAGGTAGTAATTCGAAGAGGACTGTCATTTTGTTACCTTATTAGGCTCTTGGGTCCCAAAGGCATAGAAACGAACAAGGCACCCACTAGTAAAGCAAGCAATGCATTATTTTTTTTTTTTCCTTTTTGTCTTTTTTCGTGACCGGCAACGGATTGCAACCCTCAGTGTCACGCCCATACCGGACCGGGACCGGCAACGGGATCACGCAACCCTCGGTGTTGCACCCGCACCTCGCTCAGCCAGTGAGTGGCCGGTCTGCATGTGGGATCCGAACCCTCGGCGGGAGCGCTGCCGCGCTTCCCAAGCGGCACACTATAGCAGTGTGCCACTGGGCCGGCCCAAGCAATGCATTATTAAAAGAGGTCGACTTATGCATAAGTGGGGCAGCTAAAGAGAAGCTAGCTCCTCGAGGGGAGCTCTTCAGGGTCCTTTACAGGGCAAGGGGTTACGGGGTGCAGGCCAGTGTCATCAGTCTGCACCTTTGGAGGTGGTCCATTCTGTTCTTCCTGGGCATGTGCTCAGTTAGGGCTTTCGTCCTTGAGCCTGCTCAGGAGGTCCAAGATGGTGGTGGTGTTCATTTTCATCACCCCAGGAGTTTCATTGTAGTAGTCACCTTGAAGCTTTGTGTGCATGCGGGAACTCCTAAAGGTTAATCTGTAACAATTTTTACAATTACAGGAAAAGAAAGAATAGGTGAATAATAAGTTTTAAACAAAGCTAACAGTTATACTGTAACAAACCTTGGGGAGGGGTTTTGCAACTCAGTGACTACCTGTTCCCTTCTTACCTCAGTTTATTTTATCAGGGTGGGTCATGAGGTAATCATGCACTTTGGGGGTCTCATGACTGAGGAGTGGAAAAGTAACAAAGTGTCCTCTGCAGGGAAAATGGAGTCAGTTTGGTTCACAGGCCTAGCCCTATTCTGTCTCAATTTCTCATGCTGGGGAGTGGCCCAAGCCAGTGCAATTTCAGAGGAAGTACCTGGAAGGAACCAGTCTGGGTAGAATGGACAGGCTGAATCTCCAGGGGCACCAAGTCTCTGCATTTGAACTCTCTGATTCCTGGAAGGGCAGCAGATGAACCAAATAGGTCCACAAAGAGCAGAAGCACAGCTGGGGGGGATGGGGAGCGAGGACCTGGGAACCACTGCTCTCCCACAGCACATTCTCCTGCAGGGGCCCTTTGCAGGGGGTTGTTAATAACGTGTTGCTGCGATGCTTGTCAAGGCATGAGAAAGCAGGACCAGGAACAGCAGGACAGTAATGAGAGAGGAACGCCTCCCACCAGTTGGGAGCCGAGCCACCCTGACTGGGCTCCTGCTCCTGGTATCAGAAGACCTCACTCTGACGCAGCCATTCTCAGTTTCAATGGAGTGACAGGCCTCAGGGACATCCAGGTGTGGATTAGATGTAACCGGCCCTTTCCCCCATGCTTGCCTCCCCCAACTACTAAAGGGCATGATTTTATGGTTATTCTAATTTGAATTTTTTTTTTTCCCGTCTTTTTTCGTGACCTGCAACGGATCGCAACCCTCAGTGTCGCGCCCATACCGGACCGGGACCAGCAACGGGATCGCAACCCTCAGTGTTGCTCCCGCACCTCGCTCAGCCAGTGAGCGGCTGGTCTGTATGTGGGATCCGAACCCTTGGTGGGAGCGCCACCGGGCCGGCCCCTCTAATTTGAATTTTTATTGTTTTTTTTTTTTTTTAAAGATGACCAGTAAGGGGCTCTTAACCCTTGACTTGGTGTTTTCAGCACCACGCTCTCCCAAGTGAGCTAACCGGCCATCCCTCCGAACCCACGGTCTTGGTGTTATCAGCACCACACTCTCCCGAGTGAGCCACGGGCCGGCCCTTTATTGAGTTTTTTAAAAAACTTTTTACTGAAGTATAACATACACACAGAAAAGTGTCCAAAGCATAAGTATACCTGAGTATACAGCTCCATGAATTATCACAGACTGAATGCACCCATCTGACCAGCCCCCAGGACAAGCTCCTGTACACACTGCTCTCATACATGGCTGGTGGGAATGTCAACTGGTAAGGCTTTTGTGGAGGTTTGCAACTGCTACCCGAATGACAAATCCACATAGCTTCTGACTCAATTAGCTCCTCACACATGTGTGAAATGATGTATGTACAAAGTTTTTCTTTGTGGCACTGGTTATTAAAATGCAAGACTGGAAAGGATTTAAATTTCCATCAGTAGGGGACTGGGTAAATAAATTATGGTGTGTCCCCATAGTGGAATACATGCAGCAGACCTTTAAAAAAAAAAAGAGGAAACTCTTTAGGGATCAATATTGACAACCTCCAAGATATTTTATTTTATTTATTTTTTGTTTTGTTTTGTTTTAGTGGCTGGCTGGCGTGGTCGAAGATATTTTACAAGTAACAAAAACAAACTGCAGAAGTCCTGCCTACAGTGTGCTGCTGTCTGTATACAAAAGGCATGCAGGCTGAGCAGATACACCTGTTTGCTCTGGAAGGACAAACAGAAGTTAGTAACATTGGTTCCTACAGAAAAAAAGGAACTAGGGGACTGGGAGATGACATTTTACTATATACCGTTTGACACCTTTTGGATTTTAAATTGTACAAATATATTATCTAGTGCAAAAATTAATAAATTAATTTTTAAAAAAGTAAGGCAAAAATAGTACATGTTCATAAAGAAAAAGTTGGAAAATAATCATAGCTTTTAAAAACCACCCAGAGGGCCGGCCCGTGGCTCACTTGGGAGAGCATGGTGCTGACAGCACCAAGTCAAGGGTTAAGATCCCCTTACCAGTCATCTTTTTTTAAAAAAATTAAATTAAAATTAAAATAAGATAAAAACCACCCAGAGTTCTTTATCAGGACTAGGGTGATAGTTACATGATTCTATCCATTTGCTGAAACTAACAGAACTGTACCACCACAAAGAATGAATTTTATTATGTGTAAAATTTTTAAATAATGGTAGTATTGGATTATGACCCATAGAATGAAATAAATATCCATGAGTCCATAAGAATATAAGCAAGTGATTGAATAAATAAGCAAATGAGGGAGACTGGACAGCCCTTCCTCAGAGAAGTATTTTAATTAATAAATGTAGAAAGAATGAGAGAAATAGAAAAATCACCATCACAACAACAGCAGAGTTAAAATTGCTGCAGGCAAGATCCATCAATGGATGCAAAACAGTGGGCGAAAGTTTGAGGAGAAAGAAGATTTGCATAATCTCAATCTATCTCCCTGTGGTATCCCCTGCCCCCAACCCAAGATATTTATTAATCAAAAAGGGAAAAGTAATATTGCAGTGGAGAAACCTGGCAGACACCAACCTAACCAAGGTATTAAGGTGGCCACCACCAGTAGTAAAATATATTATGTTGTAGCCTGTAGTGGACTGAATTATGTGCCCCCCAAACTCACTGAAGCTTGAATTGTGTCCCCCAAGTTTATGTATTAGAATCTTAGCCCCCACTGTGACTGTTAAGGTGGGAAATCCAATTATGGTAATTGAAAGGTGGACCCTTAAAGAGGTGATTGGATTATAGGACCGTGCAGTAATGAATGGATTAAAAATAATGGTCATGGGGAATGGTTCTGAGGACTTTAAAAGAAGAGGTGAGTCTGTCTTTCTTGCTCTCTCTGCTTCCACCACCTTGCAATGTGAGACCCCTGGGTCACTGTCACCACCACCAGATGGACTATGGATTTCCTAGCCTCAGAAACTGTAAGCAATAAATGTTGTTTTCTCTATAAATCATCCAGTTCCAGGTATTCTTTTATAGCAACAAAAACAGACTAATACCAGAGAAGTGGGGTGTTGCTTATAACAAATAGTGGAAAATGTGGAAGCGGCTTTGGAGCTGGGTGTTAGGCAAAGGTTGGAGGAGTTTGGAGGACTCAGAAGACAAAAAGATGAGGGAAAGTTTGGAATGTCTTAGTGACTGGTTACGTGGTGGTGAGCAGAACGCTGATAGAAATACGGACTGTAAAGACCATTCTAAGGAGGTCTCAGATAGAAATCAGAAGGAGTTTATTGGAAACTGGGACAAAGATCACCCTTGCCATGAACTGGCAAGGAATTTGGCTGCATCATGTCCCTACCCTAGGGCTTTGTGGAAGTTGAAACTTAGGAGCTGTGAACCAGAGTATCTGGCAGAAGAAATTTCCAAGCAGCAGAACATTAAGGAAGCTGCATGGCTACTTGCAATAGCCTACACTGAGTTATGGCAGCAAAAGACATAACATAAAGCCAGAATTTAAAAGGGAAGCAGAGCGTAAAGATTTGGAAAATTTGCAACCTGGCCATGTGGTAGAGAAGTAGAGAGCATGCAGTGGTGCCACCCAGCGACCATTAGTTAAGAAGATCAGTACAAAGGAAAGGAATCATCAAGAGGATAAAAAAAATAAAAACTCTCCCATTTCAGGCCCAAAGGCCTAGGGAGACAAAATGGTCTTGGGGAACAGGCCTGAGGTGCCCTCCACGGGCTCAATGCCTGGGGCCACTTCAAGAAGCTGCTTCCAGCACCCCAGCTGCTTTGGCTGCTCCAGCCATGGTTAACTTGGCCCCAGGTGTGGCTGGATGTGCAGCTTTGGAAGATATAAGCTGGAAGTCTTGGCAGCATTCACGTGGTATTAGGTCTACAGGCTCACAGAATGCCAGAGCTGTGAAGGCTTGCGAGCCTCCACCAAGATTTCAAAGGATTTATGGAAAAGTCTGGGGGCCCAGGAAAAGATCTGTCACAGGGCAGAGTCACTGCACACAGAGCAATGCCAAGTGGAAATGTGGGGTCAGAGTTGCAATGCAGAAACCCCATCAGTGCCATGTCTGGTGGAGCTGTGAGAGGGGGACTATCATGGAGACCATAGACCTGTGGAGCTACCAGAGTGGAATGCCAGCCTGGGAGAGCTAAAGCATCACCTGAGACCAGAAAAGCCATAGAAGCGGAGCTGCCTGAGGATATGGGGACCTAACCCAACCAGCGTGCAGATGATGTTGAACATGGAGTCAAGTTACCTGATTCACCAGCTTTGAGATTTAATGCCTGCCCTGCTGGGTTTTGGACTGGTTTGGTACCTGTTTCTCCTTTCTTTTGGCCTATTTCTCCCTTTTGGAACGGGAGTATATACCTTATGTTTGTCCCACCAGTGTATCTTGGAAGTAAATAACTTGTATTGATTTCACAGATAGGTCTTTGAACTTTGGACTTCTGAGTTGAAACAAGTTAAGATTTGGGGGATGAAATGAATGTATTTGCATGTGAAAAGACATGAGTTTGGGGAGGCCAGGGGCAGAACGTAGTGGACTGAATTATGTCCCCCCAAACTCATTGAAGCTTGAATTGTGTCTCCCAAGTTTTATGTATTAGAAACATAGCCCCCACTGGGGGAAATCCTATTATGGTAATTGAAAAGTGGAGCCTTAAAGAGCTGACTGGATTATAGGACCGTGCAGTAGTGAATGAATTAAAAAAAGGGGTCAGGGGCACGGTTCTGAGGGCTTTAAAAAGAGAAGGAGAGTCTGTCTTTCTCTCTCTGCTCTTTCTGCTTCCATCATCCTGCAATGTGAGACCCCTGGGTCACTGTAACCACCACCAGATGGACTTTGGACTTCCCAGCCTCAGAAAATGTAAGCAATAAATTTCGTTTTCTTCA